TTGAAGGATGGGGAGAGTGACTAGAAGGTCAGTAGATAGTAAAAATACAAGCTAAGAAGGGTGGTGTTTATGGATTGCAGGGTTTTAAAGAGAGTAGATAGTTGATCAACAAAAACTGGAACATTGGACTGTAGAAAAATTTTACTGAGAAAAGAATTAACAATAGATACATAGAAAACCAAACAAATGAAAAAATAAAGGAATTATTAACACCAACAAAGAATAGTTCTACTAATAAAGAAGCAAAATAGTGCACAAATTGGTTCAGCAGTAAATCATACTTTCATAGCAATAATCATATAAACATTGAGTTAGCAAAAAAAAAAAATGGGGATTTAACTATATTGGGATGATTGAAGGGATGGAAACAGATGGATGGGGGATTAATAGAACCAAACAGATAATATACAACATTGACAAATCAAGAAATAGCAGCATATGTACATACAAACTATTTAGCTATATGGAGGTAAATACCAGGAAAAAAAAAGCTAAGAGTTGAAAATGGTTGCCTCTGGGGATCAAGTGTATGTGAAGAGGATTGGGGCAAGAAATTGCTGTTTGTTATATATGACTTTTAGTACTATTTGACCTTTTAAGCCATATACATACATTACTTTCATTTAAAAAAATAAAAAGTACTTTTTAGAAGAACAAATAAATAATTCTTGTTTGCCACAAAACAAGAATTCAAAGGGCATCATAGCAGGAGGTAGCAGGAGACAGATAAGGGTGGTGCTGGGAAAAGATGGGCCCAAAACAGATGTGAATTAAATTTTTGGAAGGGATAGCAGGGGATAGAGGTTTGCACAAAAGACACCCATTTTCAATAACGGTGATGAAGAAGGCAGTAAATATGGAAAGGGACTTGAGCCACATGTTAATGGGTGAAGGAACAGGCAGAACTGCTGAGTTTATTGAGCTAACCAGCCCAGAGATTCCACCATTAGTGAATGACTTATGTTACATAAACATTAGAGCAAGCTTCCTGGATACTTGCCAGAAAAAGCACCTGGCACTAAGATTTGTACTGTCTCGATGTTGACAAAAATTGAATTTTCAAATGACAGAAGAAAGTCATCACAAATTGGAGTATTTTCCATTGACAATAGCAATATCCAAGTGAGCAGGACTGTTCCCTTTACTCCAAAAGGTTTCTTGGAAGCCTCAAGCCAAGTGGAAAAGAGTTACACACGCAATATACATAATTATTGAGTCTTTCTTATAAACACCACCTGTATGATAACTTGTAAAATGAGTTCATCTGAGCTTTTCCTTGTCACTAACATATGTGAAGTTATCTATTCCTTGCTAACGGCAGGGAAATGATCATAGCACGTTACTCCTATTGTCCCCAGGGAAGGAAATGTGATCGGTGATGTTTGAATTTGAAACCAAAATGATGATGTCTCTAGGGAGAACCATGGAAAACATACATAAATTAGTTTTATAAAAAATATTTTGAAACCAGGTTTTTTGACACCTGATTTTCAAAAATATTTTAATGCCTTTTGCTTTGTGGAAAACATTTTAAAGTCTATTTAGTTTCATTTAGAAATATCATTACAATAGGAACCAGTGTCTTATATTGGTGCTTGAAAGATTTGAGGGCTGGGGTTGGGGGAGGAAGAAGGTAGGGAAATGAACATTCGTTTGAGTGTCTACTATGTGCTTGGCACTAAGGGAGGTACTTTACATATTTTATCTCACTTAATCCTGTTGTATGATACACTGCACATTGAGTATGATTCTCCCTCTTTTATAGATGAGGAAACTAAGGTTCAGTCCAGTTAAGTCAATTAGTTCAGTCCAGTTAATTAGCTAAGATCATGCAGGTCAGCAGATCAGGTTTTATAAACTCAGATAATTTAACTGAAAATCTATATTCTTTCCATCTTATTATGCTACCTCAAAATTACAATTTAACTCTGAACACAAACTAAGAATGGGTCAACATTTAGTTTTAAAAGAATCTAACTTACGTCTGCTCTATTATCCTGGAAAAGAGACTCTTCCACCCACGTAGAAGAGACGTGTAAACACGAAGGAGCCTAGGTGAGAGAACTCACTCTGCCTCTGTCCATGGGATCTGCACAACAGGTAACCCTGAGCTCACTCTGACCAGGAATGGGTCCAGTCCTATGTTATCCATACAAGTGGAATTACAAGCTCTAAGCTTCCCAGGACACTATTCTATTTTCAGCAGCACTTCAACTTTATCCTCATAAAATATTGAAAAACAAGAAAAAATTTTATCTATACCAAAAGCCTCCAGTCTATAACAAAGCTAAATCGGAATCTCAAACTAAAGTATGAATAATAAAATAGAAAGCAATATATTAGTTACCCAACTCTGCTCATTTTCTAAATAGACAATATCTAATCTGATCAAATATATTATTAATTGTACTAAGCTAGTGAAAGGATATCGTAGCATTACCATTGCCACCAGACAAGATTCTTAATCTTGTTATATTGTTCCCAACTCTGGTAATTGTCCCTCACTCCATTCTTGCTGTCGTTATTCTAGTTTAAGTTTTATACTTAGACTACTGAAATAGCTTCTAATAATCTTCTCTCTGCAAATCTTTCTCCATGGCATTTTTTTCATGTTGTAAACTGTATAGTTTATGAAGCACTTTCAACGTATATTTTCATTTAATCTTTACATCAACGCTGTGAGGTAGACATTACTACCTAAATTTTATGGATACGGACACTTTTGAGAGATTTGGTATTTATTAAGAGCATACAGCTTGAAAGGGACAGAGCTGGGACTGGAACCCAGGTCTTCTTAACCTGAAGCTAGTCCACACTCTGTTATACCACCAATACCTCACCACTGTCAGACTCTTAATCCAGTGCTCTATTCACGTTTACACTATTGATCACGGACTCTCCACATTACTGACAACTTCAAGAGGGAACTCTCAACAAGCTCTGGAGTCAGACTACCTATGTATGAATCCTGGCTTTGCCACATGTTAGCTGTACAAGCCTTTCCAAGTGACTTAACCTTTCTGAGCCTCAGTTTCCTTATCTGAACAAGAAGGCCAACAATAACACCATCCTCATCTGATCATTGTGAGAAGGAAATTAATTAATATACCAATCTGTCTTGTACAAAGCTGCTAGGATTTACCTCCTAAAGCATACCTGTGTGGTATTTTCCTACTCAAGGACCTTCCCTCACTCTCTATTACCTACCAAATAAAGTTCAAAATTTTAAATTTAAAATTCAAGGACCTCATGATCTGTCTTTAATGTATCATTTTAACCCTACACTCTAGTACTCCTCATCCTATGTCTTCCTTGTCATACAAACCCAACCACTAACTATTTCTGAAACCCAAAATGTACCTTCCCAAATCTATGACTTTTTTCATGTGAGTCCCTCTTCTTAGGATGTCATCTCCACGCCACATGGCAATACCACATATGAAAATTCTGCTTACTCTTCAAAGCCCAAGTCAATTCCCACCTTCTCAACAAAGCTTTCCATGATCTCCCAGCTGAAATTAATTTCTTCTCTCTTCTGTTCCCAAAGCATGTTGCTTCTTCCTCTTTTATGACAGACAACACTTTGCTTTGTATTATGTTTTGTGTTTTTGCCACTTTCCCCTATTAGACAGTAAGCACCTATGAGAAATGTGACAATATCTTACCCACTTTTGTATTTCTCATAGTACCTGGCATGAAGATGTAATGTTTATGAATAATAATTACTACTGAAAACTAATAATTACCGTTTGTTAAGTATTTACCATCAGCACTCAACAATGGCAAGTGCTTAACATACAAGACATAATTTATTCTTACAATAATCCTGTGAGAAATGGATGATGTTTCTCTATTTTATAATGAGGAAACTGAAGCAAAGTTAAGTATCAGATTAAACCATATGAAATTGTTGCTATTTGACCAACTTTGACCTATAAAACGATCATTTCAAATGATTTAACCTAATAAAATAGCTTTTTAATGATTATTACTAATCCATTTAACGTAAAAAATTCAACACCATCTGGACCATGATTTAGAGTAATTCTAGAGGCCAATATTTCCATACATGATATTCAGAGAAAAGATAATTTTAGGCTTCTTTAGATTGGAGAAACCTGGGTTTTAAATATTTTGTTGTTCTTTTTGGCCAATATGGCCAAAGCACGTATTTCAGAGTTTCAGTCCTTAAACATAATCTCACATATATTTGATATAAACAATCAAATTCTTATGTGGTCAGGCTCCTTCTTTATTTTTTCTTATTCTTTCAGTGAGAGTTGCCTATGAGAGAGGTCAATTTGAGCAAGTTATTCCTCACTGGAAAAAAGATCTGAAAAAATACAAATGATGGCTGATTCCTCATTGTTCCTATTATAATTGTTAGTTTTATCAGGATACAAGAAAATCTTTTTTCCTTTAGCACTTGTTTAACAGATGTTTACAAGATTCCAAAGTCTACAGAACATAAATTAGTCACTGACGATTGTATCCCAAGAGATTTCTCCTTAGCAATTAAGTTTTAGTTTCTATTTTGCTGATGTACTATACAATGAAATGTACACATATTCTGACTTAATATACCTTATCTTCAAAGAAGACATATAGGAAGTAATTACCAGCTCGTGAAATGTGACCATTACAATCATCTTAGATCACATTTCCAATTCATCATTCATTTAAATACCATACCTCATGAACATATGTAATGTCACACAACCATTTGACCCATTTTAGAACTGAGAGTCAGCTAAAAATTAGGTATTCATTAATCAGTTCATAACTTCCCTCATAGATTTAATGTATTAATAGACTTGAATTATTTTGTCTTCTGAGAAGAGGTTGAAAATTTTGCTTTAAAAATGCCATAACAAAACACAAATACCAGTGATTTTACTCCTTATTTTGATGAAAATTTCATGTGAGTATCTGTACACTGGTGTGAGAAGGATTTAACAGCGTTATTTCAGCTTTATAAAGAATCAGCTGACTGATCTTACCTGCTCATGTGTTTGGCTTGATCCACCACGGCACAGTTCATTTCCAGCATGTATAGAAATTGAATCACTTCCTGTGATGGTTTGGATTTGCGAGCTAGAATGGGATTGCTGACAGTGTGGACAATGGATGATCTGAGGCTGTTGGACAATGTGATGATGGCATTGAACCTGAGGATAGCATTCCTAAAACACACACACACGCCAAAAACAGTCACTGAGAATAAAAGTTACTAATCAAGAAAAAGCCAACTGAATTCATTTTTAAAACTTTAAAATTTAAAATCTCCTTTCACAAGATAATTCAAGCCCTAGGATGTGTAGTTTTAGTAAGTGATATATTATTTTCTCAAATTATTCCATTGGAAGAAGTTATAGTGAATTCTATTTTTATTTGATCAGGCGGCTGTGACCACCCAAATACTTACCTAAATTGGCCTGGGAATTTCATGCTTTGATTAAATTAATATTCCAACTATACTTAACACTCACTATAATGAATATTAATATTAACTAATCTTCTTTGATGATTCAACAGGCACTTCAGGATCTAATGACATAATAATACTATGATACTGAAGATGTAGACAGATATAAAATTAGAAAATAATATAATGTAGTGATTTGCGATGTCAGGAAGCATATTAGAATCACAGTGGGGGTGGGCAAAGTTCTTATGCTTACGAAAATCAAGCATGAATTAAGAAAAAAGTTTGGAAAACAGTGACTGAAGCTTCAGGTCCAGAAAACATGGATTCTAACTGATTCTACCACTTACTCTGAGATCTTGGGAAACTGTATATGCAACCGTTATGAGTTTCAGTTTCCTCATTTGTAAAAGTGAAGATAGTATGTGTCTCATTGGGTTGCTGTGAGGAGTAAATGAACTAATGTTTATAAAGTGCCTAGTACAAAGTAGGTAATAAACATTTATTATTATTATCGTATTATTTCATCATCGTCGTCATCGTCATCATCAACTTAATCTTCATCCCCCCCATTAATTCTGCTGGTGGAAAAAAAACCCTGAGGTCCAGAGAAGTGAGATGATTTATTTATAATGACACAACTAATGAATGGCAAAATTGGGACTAGAACTCATGATTTCTAGCTCAGATTTCTTTCAAAGCATGAAGCTGAATTTGTCCTGTCCTCAAAATATTCTAGAACTTGTTTTTAAATTAAATGTTTGCTATCTGCTTGTTTATTTGTCATGACTTTTTTTTTTTTGATAAGCATAGAGCACAGAATAAGAAAATATATCTGGTTATTTCAGTTTGGGGGATTTCAGGTATAAGTCAGTTCCTGACTTACTATAGTTAGACTTATGATTTTTCAACTTTATGATGATGCAAAAGCCATACACATTCAATAGAAACTGTACTTCGAATTTTAAATTTTGATCTTTTCCCGGGCTAGCGATACGTGGTAGATACTCTTCCGTGATGCTGGACAGTGCAGCAAGCTGCAGCTTCCAATTAGTCTCTCAGTCATGAGGGTAAACAACCAATACACTGACAACCATTCTGTACCCATACAACTGCTCTGTTTTTCATTTTCAGTACAGTGTTCAATAAATTACATGAAATATTCAACACTTTATTATAAAATAAACTTTGTGTTAGATGATTTTGCCCAATTGGAGGCTAACATAAGTATTCTAAGCATATTTAAGGTAGGCTAAGCTAAGCTATAATGTTCGGTAAATTAGGCGTATTAAATGCATTTTTGACTTAGGGTATTTCCAACTTACAATGGGTTTATCAGGACGTAACCCTATCATAAGTCAAGGAAGATCTGCACTTGAATTTCCTATATTATCTTGTTATTGTTCTACATTTATAACAGGCATCTGAAAGCCAGTTTGCAAAGAAAAAATACTCTATTTTTAATCATAATGCTACATTCATGCACATACAATTAACTTTGAAAGTATATATTTGGTGCTATATTTCCATTTGACTGTGGAAAGCTGACCTATATTAATAAAATAAAGCACTTCAAATTTTAAATCATTTATATGTAACAATTTTCAAACTAAAATGAAAGAAGCAAGATGCATAAGAATGATTATAGTATGCTCCTTTTTGTGTGACTTTTTAAAAAATGTACATACATGTATATTTACAAACGTATACAACTGCTTTTAAATGCATAGAGCAAAAAACTTTTAGAGTGACTGACTTTTGGAAGACGAACTGAAGGACAGAAGGCTCAGGATAGAGGGGTCTTTTTCCTCTGTATACATTTTTATTCTCTTTTTATAATTTTTATGCTTTGAAATTTTTTACCATGTGTACAAATTGTCTTTTCATGTATACAAAAATAGTTTTAAAGAAAGAAAAACTATATAAAGAAATACATTTTACAAATAGAAACTGCCTTGATAGACATCTAGATAATAAAGGTCATAGAATCAGTTCACAGAATCATTTTCTCTAGGCTCTTTTCAAATTTCACTCACTTTAAAAATATGCTAGCACTAAAATGTCTACAGTTTAGAAGTCCAACTGTGTACTATCAGCAACTTTTGTACAAATTTTGGGGGTGAATGTATTATCTATTATGTTACAAAATCCCTTCACATACGGGGTTAGGATAAAGTCAGTGACAGTCTGAGAAAACCTTCACCCAGTGGGGAGCTTGTACACTACTGAAATAGGATTTCTCCAAAAAAATTAATGTGTTCCTTAAAAAGAAAGTTAGGAAACATTTTGAAAGCACACATCAACATAGGACAATAAAGAAAACAAAACCCATTTCTTAATCATCTTTCTTTATTAATTTATCAGTTGATTCTTGAATAGAATGCTGACAGTCTGTCCATCTGGGGTGTCTCGTGGTTTCCCTGAGCCTATTTGGCCTCTGAACCACTTATTGGTACCACTGAAGTCTGAGCAGGTTTTCAGTTTTCGATTCTCACATCTGACTACTAAAATTCTTGTTCCATGGCAAGATATTCATAGGTTACTCATACTTTTGAAGCATACCACAAGCTGAATTTTTAATGTAGAAAAGATAAAACATTTCTGATTTATCATATAGTTTGTCTTCTTTGATAGACAAAAAGACAGTAAAGTTCATGTGAATTGGATAATTATCTTGCAACTGGCGCCACTTTACCACACTTCCACAACAAAGACATCTTTTTCGGACAGATCCCATTTCTTAAGAGCTAGTCCTATTTGAACTAGTTTCATGTGACATTAAGCAGGTTCCTCCAGACCCTGGCTTTATCCAGCTTGTCCTACTGTATCCCTACCACTGAGGAAACTCAAGTAGGTCAAAGAAGTTGTAGTTTGTTTCATATACATAGTTCCTTTTATCCTAGACAGTCTCCCATGGCAGTTCCAAAATTCCCAAGTCATTTAAGTCACTAATAAGAAAAATGGATGTGAAACAGTAAATATTCAAGTGAATAGTCAGTAGCAGCAGTGTTCCCTTAAAAGCATTCTTCTTAAATTGTTCCAGATGCATAGCAGTAATAATGTATAGGATATTCAATCTTTTCCTCTAGGGACCAAGATTTACAAAATCTGTTTATTCTCTTCAAAAAAAAGAAGCTAGAGCAGCATGAAATGACGTGTCTTGAACATTCCTTACTATTTAAAATGTGTCAAACTTATTGTTTTGGCAGTCCACTTGGATAAAGGACAAATGTTATAATTTGATAGCTTGAGGAAAGTGCCCCTTGAAGAACTGACATATTTGACTAAATTTTTCTATTTGGTATCACAATGTCCAGAAATATTTTGCCAGTCCTCTTGAATATATGTGTTCAATACATACCATACCAAATCCTTCAGACTATATCCAGCTTTCCAAAGAGACCAGAATCGTAAAAACTTGCATGCTTATGATTCTGAGAGTTTACTCTATTTCATTTTTATTGGGCATCAAATAAGTAATAATGTATTAGTTTCAGGAATCTAATAACACTTACCTATAAATGCTCATAAAAATAAGACGTTCTCATGCCAAGGAAATTAAAAAGGAGAATTTAATATATTTTAGTGTTTCTTTTGTATATGAGGAAAATGATTTTGTGATCAAAATTCATTTGATATTATTTAACTCTCTGTTATGGGTTAAATTGTGCGCTCCCTAAAAGACCTACATTAAAGTCCTAACCTCCAATACCGCAGAATGTGACCTTATTTGGAAACAGGGTCTTTACAGAGGTGATCAAGTTAAAATGAGGTCATTAGAATGGGTTCTAATCAAATATGACTGATGTCCTCATAAAAAGGAGAAATTTGGACACAGAGACAAACATGCACAAAGGGAAGACGATGGGAAGACACACAAGGAGGATGCCATGTGAAAGATGGAGGATTAAAGTTATGCATCTATAAGCTGAAGAATGCCTGAAACCACCAGAACCTAGGAGATAGGCATGGAAGAGTTACTTTCCTAGAGGCTTCAAAGGGAGCATGGCTCTGCCAAAACCATGATTTCATACTTCTGGCCTCCAGAACTGTGAGACAATCAATTTCTACTGTTTTAAACCACCCAGATTGTGGTACTTTGTTTCTGCAGCCGTAAGAAACTAATACACTGTCCTGGTTCAAGAATGTCCAAGAGACAAGTCCCAGACTTTGTCTGGACTGGACATGCTTGTATCCACTGAGCAGATAAATGTGAAACCTCTACTGGTTACAGTAACAACTCTGCTTGAAGGACTGGGGACCCTAGATGCCATGAAATTACCATTCCCCTGCTGCAGTTTTATGCTCTGGACTTGGTCTCTCAAGTGAGCTTAATGGAATTTTTAAAATGCGACTTGAAGCTTTAGTTTTCTAGATCTTTTACAGTATGCAATATTTTACATATCTGTTTATGCATATTGTTCATGTAAAAATTCATTTCATATTAAACAAATTAAGACAAATATAATTTTTTAAATTGTGATTTTTGTGACACCTGTTTAAAAGAGACATACAAATGATTGGGCTATCTCTATTAAGTTCAGATTCTACCATTAATTTTCTACGTGACTTGACATATCTACTTCAGTTTTCCTTTCAGTAGAACAGGGACAATAATACTTCACATGAGAAAATGGGTTTGGAAGAGTTAAGGATGATATAAAGTGCTGAAGACAACTGAATGTCATTTTAGCTCTATTAAAATATTCATAATTCAAAAGTATACACAAAAAATAAGCCTTAAAACTAATTTTACATACCTGATTCGTATTTAGCTTCTCCACTTTTCTTATTGTTTTTTCATAAATAACATTGTTTCCTGGGAAGAAATGGCCTCCTCTTAAGAATGGAGACAGTGGTTCCTATAAAGACAGTAAAGACAGTGTTTTGATTTGAAAGGTACCTTTCTTAATTTAAGCAAATACCCAGTCTCTAATGAACTCTGAGGTAGTGGCAGACATTAGGAGGAGAGTGGAATGATATCCCAATAAGGTTGTGAGAGATGTAAGGAAATAGTAATAAAGATAGTCCAGTTTCTCAAACAACAATCTGGATCTCAGCTACTACATTTTCCTAGGCCTAACACAGTGTTTTGGGGAAACTGGAAGAGTGGGAAAGATATATATATTTTTTCTGTTCCTAAGGCAAGATATAATGAATTTCCTTTGAGGCAGACAGGCATGAGGTCAACCTCATCTAAATTGGGTTCACTGGCAGGTTTCTGTCTATGTAAAAGCATTATCCATGAAATGCAAAATAAACATAATTCAGCACCACTGAGCCATAAAGAGTTTTTTTCCTGAAACTCAATTTGGGTGCCCTTGAAGTATAAAATTTTTACTTGTGACTATAATCAAAGGTAAGTCTCTCAGTACAAACATATGTTTTGAATATTGAGAACAGAGTTGAGCCTGTAGGAGCCACTGTATCTCCATATAATAAACGAAATTGATACAGGGTTATCCAAGTGCTTAGAAGATGTCAGCCAATGAAATAAGGGCTGGTGACAAGTCCAAGATCTGAAAGAAACCAAGGAAGAGCTTTTAAGAATCAGACCAGGAGTCTAAAATAAATGTAATGTGTACTATATTTATTTCCCCTCTTTTGGTTTTCATATGAGTCTTTACTTATGTATGGAGAGAATTGGGGATGTTTTGCTATAAACCGAAAATTGCATTCATTTATTTTTGTAATACAAGGGAACAGTATAGAAGGGGATTGACGAAGCCTGTTACCAGATAATGTATTTAGGACCATTTCAAAGTCAACAAAATGTGCTTGCATTTTTGTAGTCTGCTATTGTAAAATCTCTTAGAACAAGTGGACTAAAACGCTGGCTGTTGAAAAGGCAAGACACTCTTGAACTCACAGCTATGCACTTCTTTCATTCAAGTTTGAAGAAAGGGTGCTTTAACTACATGTTCCTGGGATACTTTGGTAAAACAAACATTTAAGTGATTAAAGTTGACTAGCTGGTGAATTATTAAATCTAAAGATAGATATATTTAGAAAGATTTCCCTAGAAGCTATTTTGTGTTTAATTTTGTAAAAAAGCCTCTTTGGTAGTTATTTGCAATCATGTAACACATGTTTAAGTGATTACTATGCACAATATACTTTGTTAAGGGTTATAGGGCATGAATCAGATTATTACCAGGACTATCGAATATTGATCAGGGTTCATCAACCTATAGCCAGCAGCCTGTTTTTATAATGTCTTCAAGCTAAGAATAGTATTTAGAGTTTTAAAGGACTGTAAGTAAAGAGAGAGAAGACCAAGACCCTATGTGGCCAGCAAAGACTAAAATATTTACCATATGGCCCTTTACAGAAAAATGTTGCTAGTCCCTGATCTAGATGATATATGAACACAAACATCTATAATACGAGGTAGAAAGAGGTAAATACCCTTAAGACGTACAGAGAAATAATTTATGATATGGAATTCAAAAGAGAGAAAACCTGAGTTCCATCTGGCAGTGCTCAGGTAGTTTACTTGGGTCAGGTGGCACTTGACAGAAGGTTAAGGTGGGCTTCGGATATGAGGAGAGGGAAGGAAATGGTATTCCAAGTGAAGGAAACAAAATTAGTCAAGACACCGAGGTTGGAAAAGTGTAAGTTATATGTAGGGGACACACTTGGCAGATGGAGCTTGGTTCGGCAAGCAGTAAGAAGCCTTTGAATGCTTTTAAACAGATATGAGGTGAACATAAGTCTACTTCAGGAAGATTAATTGGAGAATGGGAAGAGTACAGGCGAGGAGGCCAGTTATGAGATTATCCTAAATCATCAAGGACAGTACTTTTCAAAGATGACTGAGATATTGAACCTGAGAAATCTACTATCTGGCCAATGGTGCCAAAAACAAAAAAGAAAAAGTTGAGACATGTTGAGTTTTATGTGCTCCTGGTAAAAATCTAGGTCTGATTCATGTTTTTATTCCTCATAACACTTAGCAAAGTATATCGTGCATAGTAATCCCTTAAACATGTATTAAATTCCTGCAAAAAACTAGCAAAGAGACTCTTTTACAAAAAATGTACAGGTGGGCATTCAGGTGTAAATGTCGAGCACACAGTTGAAAACACATGTCTGGAACTGAGTGGGGATTTCATAGCTACAGTTCTAGATTTCAGAATCCTATGCTTAGAAGTTCTAGTTAAAATCACACAATTGCTGAAAAGGCAAGTGAAGATCAAAGACAGAACTAGACAAGCCTTTACATGTATGAGAATCAGAAGAGAAAAACTTCACTAAATTAAGAGAACATTTCAAGAGGCAGTAGGAAGGTGAGTGAAGGTGTAAATGCTTCAGAGAGGTCAATCGGTGAGAATTACGAACTGGACTGGATTTAGACTACAACAAATCCATTGGATTTGACTACTAAAATTAGTTGAAGAAAGTGCAATGGAAAAAAATTCTGGAGTCATAAAACCCGTATTCAGTTCTGCCTCTATCACCTACTTGCTGTGGGAACTTAGGCAAGTCATTTACCTTCTCTGAGGCTCGGTTTCCTTATCACAGGAATAGTAATGCTGGGTACTTTATATCATGCAAAATAATGTATTTTAAAGTACTTTTAATCTGTAATTTTAATGTTAAAATGACATTGGTTTTTAATAATATAGTGATATAATATTTAAAATCCATAATGCCTTTAAAATAATTTATGAGAATCTTGTTAGATATTTTCTAGGATATCAAATTTAAAAATACATAAAAGTAGGCTTATTGAGGGCAGGGACTTTATCCATCTTGAATACCCCATAGTGAATGAACAGATGATTGAATGAGAAGAGATGACATGAACCTTTATCTTAAGGATATAAGCATCTTCTAAGAGGGTAAAACAAATTTAGCAAAAGCATCAAGTTTTCTTCTCGGTGAACTAAACTTCACTATAAATGCTAAACTTGAAGAAGAAAAATCACTTAGATGCTAACAGTGTTGATTCTCTCTAAAATGTGTGTCACACTTATTATTTTAAATGACTTACTGAAAAAAAGAAAGTCCAAATTTAGGGGACTATTATTTTTCCAAAATCTACAAGAAAGTAAAACCAAATATTACCATGAATAAATCGTTCTGAGTAAAACAAGTAATATGTCAACATAATAAATTTAATCAGAACTCAGATTTCTCATAAATGAGCTGCTAGACAGTTTTACTATTTTAGCAGCTTATTTTTTCTATCTGTACATTTGAATTGGTTCCAGATCCACCCTAAAAATTAACAGGTGTTTTCAAAGATGGCTGATCTTATAATTTTAATTGTTACTTTTAGAGCCTCTGGCAGTAGTTCTCACAACTAACAAAGTACATAGTCCTCAACATCTACTTTACTGTTCCCAGGCCATGAAACCTTGCTGGAGAAATTAAAAAAAAAAAAAAAAGATTTGCTGGTTTGGCTTAGTGCAAATTCAAGTTATCCGATTTTAAGAGGCCTTCCAACCTTCACGGTCATACTTGTATTCATCAAATTCTCTATAACTGTGGTTACAAATCTTTTCATTTTCCTCAATCCCCTGTGCTCATGCTCCGCCATTCTCCTACTTATTGAGAAAACCAAGATAATCTATCCAGTGAGATTCCTCCATTTTCCTCCCCACCTCAAAAATCTCTCAGTTTCTGCTCCTTCCATCTTATTACAGGGAAAGACGTACTCTTTTTTTTCTTGACGTCATTTCTCTGTCTATACTTGGAATCCTATCTTGTCTTGTCTCTTCCAGAGTCTTATCCCATTTGTCCCTTTCTCGGTTGCATCTTTAGTTTTCCTTATTACTAGTTCTTTCCCTCTGTCTACAAACCTCTCAGATCTCCAAGATCCTGTTTTATCCTTTAGCTACCATCCCATCTCTCCTTCCTTTGACCAATATCCTTTTTCAAAGAGTAATACTTATTCCCTCCACTTCTTGATCTATTCAAGAAGGTTAATCACCCATTAACCTTTTGCATCTAGATATTGCCTCCACAAGTATACCAAAACTGCTCTCTCTGATTATCACCATTGCTTTCTTCATGGTCAAACTCTATTCTCAAACCTTATCCTTCTTGGCCTTTTGGTCATTTGAGACCGTTGACCAGCCCCGTTCTCTATTTGCATCAGTTACTCTGTGTTCACAAATCTCTGTGACAACTCCTCTGCCTGTGAAAATGGCTCTTTCCTTCTGTTTCCTTAAAGTAGGCATTTCTCAAGGTTCTGACCCCAGTCCTCTCCATTACCCCTCAGTGATCTCACTCATTCCCACAACTACAATGATAACTTTAAGAGGAATAACTCCCATGTTTCTATCTCAAATGTGACCTTTCTCCGAGTCATTTTTAACTGCCTGTTGGGCGTCTTCCCTTCCATGAACCTCAGAGGCTGCTGGTTCAAACAGATCTCATAATCTCCCCATTTCCCAAATCAGCTTCTCCTCCCCCTCACTTCTTAATCCTTTTAACTGGGCTGCGATACTCTCAGTATCTCACACTGAAAGCTTAGGGTCATATTTGACTTTTCTTCTTCTTTTAACCCCATGTGCAATATAAGTTTTCAAATCTTGTCAAAACTACTCCAAGAATAACTGTCAGAAAAGGTAGAGTGATGGATTTGGAGTCAGAAGACTTGAGCAAGTCATACTTATTTAAGCTTTAGTTTCTTCATTAGTAACATGATACTAATAACAATGTTAATTGTAATAATGCCTTAAATATCACAATAAGTCCTTCTCTGATTCCCCCAAACGAACGTATTATCTCCAAACTCTGAACTTCAATAAGACTTCATCTGTATTTCTCTCATAGCGGCTATCATACACCCCACGTGTATCTTATGCAGCTACTTGTGGACATCTTTTTTTCTCTTCCTGAGAGGAACTAGAAGCTCCATTGGTTCAGGAATTATGTCTTATTTCCTTTTTTTTTTTTCTATTTGAAGACTGTACAGTGCCCTCCCCACAGCAGGAGCTCCACAACTGGAAAATTAATGAAACTGATTAATATCAATTGGATTCTATATACTGATGGAACAAAAATATTTCCTTCATTTCTGGGTCAAGTTATATACCAGAACGCATAAATCTTTTGACTAAAATGACAATAAATGGAGAATAAGGAAGATTAGGAGCAGCCAAAAATAAAAAGGCTGAACAGAGGTTTAAGGAAATTATAATGAGAGAAGTAGATTGAGATCAGTTTAATTACAGGGAGGAGAAGTAAAGATTAGACAAGCTGGGAGGTGAAAGAGGGTAAAGTTGCCATTTAGGAAGCTCAGCTTATTATAAATATTGTAATTAAGCCAGAATCTTCTCCTGGGGGAATTTAAAAGAGCAAACAAAAAGGCATATACTTAGATAAATAAAATAGGGAATATATCTAGACAGGATTTTCAAGCTGCTCTGCAAAACTAGTCAGATTATTTTTGTTTGCAAAGCATGGGGATTGAAATTTATTTTATTCCTCAATAATCAAAAGAGTTAAAAGCGTCAAAGTGATCATTTTTCTTTAACTCTCTGCTGAGTCTTCTCCCTGAGAAACCGTTTGCTTCTTTGTAGTTGAACACAGCCATAACAATAAGCCTTTACAGGGGCAGGTTCAGTGTTACAAGTATGTTATGTACTTGCATACATACTTCTAATTTCTCTGCCTTTGTAATTATACTGTGGCTGGGGAGGATGAAGGGGAAGGTGGTATGTAAGTGAGTCTCTGGCTCCTAATCCACGTACATCATCAATTGTCCGTAATTTGTAAATGTTTCTCTTCCACATCTGCATTGTCCCATTTCAGTCCCAACTCTGCTCCGCTGTAACTGAATGGTTTGGGGCCAGTTAAGAACTTAAGTTTAAAGGAAGTTAGGACATTGTTGAGTTCACTCCTCTATCCCCAGTTCTTGGGGCAATTTTTGGCACACAGTAGGCAATCAATAAATATTCATTGATAAATGACTTGAACTTCTCCGTGCTTCCGTTTTCTCTCACCTCTCAGGATTAAATGAAATAAAATGTGTAACTTGCCTAGCATGGAGTGTATACCCAATAAATATTAATTCTTCCTTTTCCCCTTTAACTAAAGAGTAAGAATTCATCCGAAGTCACATAAGAATCGCTGGCAAAGTGGGTTGGAATCCGAATGATTTGATACTTAAAATTTCTTTGTGGATATATCTTAGACAAACATAGTAATTCTCACATCATGAAAAAGAAAAGTGCTATCTAGAACTAATTCTTTGAAAGCCAAGGATATCAAGGGTGATATTAATCCAAGTATGCATATCCCCCAGTTTCTGTGTGAAAGAAAGGAAAAGAGGGAGGAAAGAGGGGAAAGCATAAAGTGATCAGCCAAGTTATAGAAAGAGGCACACTCTCATCTCCTGGGCCCTCGTTATGTCCCTCTCACCCCCACACACTTTTCAGATTTGTTGCTTAAACAGATGATTCTGTAAAAGAAGGAGCAAGCAGCTGCTTTACTGTAATCACATTCACTTTTGATATTAAATACACATATACATAGCTATATGAAAACTCAAGCAAATGTCTAAATCACCCCCTTCAACACAGAGCTTGCATGCTCATAGGTTCACAGAAGCACACATGCACAACTAACAGCCTCCTTAGCTAAAGACACTTGAGAAAAATGATTTTAAAATAAAGAAAGAAGCAAGAGGAGAGATAGATACAAGCAGAAGAAAAGTACATCCTCCTCATCCACCTAAAATAACACCAAGTGTGCTGCCCTGATTTAACCATTTGCTTTCCACACCTGAAGCAAATAATCAATTTTATTTTGTGAGAGAGGGGAAGATTGTTTCCCGCAATAGTGGAGAAATAAAATAAAGAACAAAGCAACGAATTGCTGTATTATTATCTGAGGCACACTGTTTCTATTTGTGAAACTTTTGTCCTTATAACCTCGTAGAAGAACCTCCTGTTGCAGTTAAAGAAGGGCTCTGTGGGTGTGTGCACATGCATGTGTGTTGAGGAAGGCTTACTATTGTGAGAAAAATCTTTCTTAATTTTCTTCTCAAAATAAGGCAAGGAATAATATCCTACTTTGTAAAATATAAGGTTATGTAATTTTCAAAAGAGCCCATTGCTAGGCACAAAGATTTATACACCTTGCTAGGCAACAAAGGCATGGAGACACTTTTGAACTTTTAACTTTGGGTTTTCTTTTTCCTAGCCCATACCTCAATAGCAAATCTAAATAGACTAAAGACTCCAATCCCTGATGGAACAGCTGATACTTTTTATATGAACCCTGTGAAAGAACCTTGTCGCCTTTTTCTTTGGTTCAAAGTGCACAAAAATCCTTTGTAGCACAAGGATGGGGCTATAGAAGTAGAAAAACTTTATAACCCAGGAATTTCCATGCTGCTTGGAACTATTGCATCTCTGAGTCAGAATGTATGGGTACATTGTTGTCTGGAATTAAACATGACTTCTTTATGTTAATGATTAGAAATTAACTTTGTGGCTGGAAGAAAGTCCAACAATCTGATTTTAGGGATCTGGTAACTGAGTCATCCTTCTTGTTTAATCTATCAGTTTCTAAACAACTGCAGGTTGGGACAAGAGTTCGCGTGACAGAGCTTACCTGTTCAGGATTTTGTACTATGTATCTCCTAATAGTGGTCTGTGGATATGTAGTGACTTTCACTGTGGGAGAATGGAGTTCCTGTGAAGAAAAGATAAATGCTGCATATAATCATAGTCATTTAGTGACCTTGGAGCCATGATAACAGGGAGCAATTTTCAGAGTAAAATTTTTAAAGTCATTTGCATAAATGATGACGTATGAACTTATATTCTAGTTAATTTCAGTCTCAAAAACATATTTGAAAGCATGTGTTTGTGTGCTCAGCATTGTGCTAGGTATTTCTATTATACTCATTTCATGGTAATTCATCACATTCCAAACAACATTTGATGAGAGTTTCAAAACATTTGTTTCACTGTAAATGCCCCTAAATGATTAGAAGAAAATATAGCTTAATATTTTTTTATTAGCTTTTCTGTTTGAAAAGGACATCCTATATTTTAAAAACTGGAAGGAGATGCAAAGAGAAAAATATCTGTGAGCGTGTGTATACTTAAACTAAATGTTCAGTGTGGTGGGGGGAGGGCCGTAAAGAATATTAAAAGGGAGACAAAACACTAGAGAAAAGTCATTTATAAACTTTTGATGGAAAAAGAGTAGATAGCATTAATATAAAGAGAGTTTTTATACCTCAATAGGAGAAATGTTTTCATACTAATAGAAAAACGAGCAAAGACCACGAACGTTTATAAAAGAAGAAAAGTAAATGGTTAATAAACAACAAAAAGTATTCAACCAAACTAGGAATCAAATAAACATAACAAACGAATACCATATTTTAACTGGAAAAAATTTTAAAATAATGATGCCAATGAGGGTCCAGTAGGAGGAGCACTTTCCTATGGGGAAGGGAAAGATTGAAAAATCGTCCATAGGCTGAAATATGCGGCCATTAAAATAATAATCTTGAGTAATACAAATTTACATGAAAAAATCTCACAATATTATATAAGGTTAAGTGAGAAATGAAGGTATAAAGCTGCATATATGGTATGATCTCAATTTTTTATTTGAATGGAAGAAAACACAACAGAATGCCAAGAGTAGCATGTTTGGGTAGGGGAGGGGATCATGAGTGATTTTTATTTTTTCTTCTTTAATCCTTTTATAGTTCCAAAATTATCTACAATAAACACAATTTTATTATCAGAAATAAAGCACACAATAAACTCAATTTTAAAGCCCTTCATTATAAAAAATAACAGTTAATGCAATTTTTTGATCGGATTTGAGTCTGATGAACAGCTCTGTGATTTAAGTGGACTTAATTTTCTGAGGTAATCCTATCTTGGTGGTCTTGTAGGGCTCCATTTCTAACTCAACTGTAGCCTTCATCCCGCTGTGCTGTTTTGTTATGTATGTGACTGACCCATGCTAGTCTGTGAGCCCTTTGAGAATAGTGATTGGGTCTAATTTATCTCTGTGCAATGTTTGGTACATACTGGGCACTCAGCAAATCCTTGCTGAATAAACGCATGACTCTAATTGACCTAGCTCTAGGCTAGGCCAAATTAGGAAGTGGTAGGCAAACTTTTCTTTGATAATCTTATTTGTTCTGCATAATATCACCATTTCCTTATTGTGCCCAAGGTCTAGAGGCCAGTTTTGGTCCGTTTGTCACCTTACTGTCCAAATTCACATCCTGGCACCTCATCTGGGCAGGCCTGTTTTCTTAGAACATCATGTTTCTCTCTCCTATCCTCCAAATCGCATATCTTTTATACTCTTCTCCTATGTAGTAACAAACTTAGGATGTTTTATGTTTTATTTTCTTAGAATTTACTTTTAGATATATGGTGACTAGCTCATTAAACACATTTTATAATATGGTATTACATTATTATTATAGCTACCTTTTGGAGATATAATGCCTGGATTCAAGAATAATCCTAAAAGTAGTATTATTAGGTCATAAAGGCTAAGGGAATTAGGCCCGTGTGTCTTTCAAATCATGTACCTTTGAGAAGGGCTAAATCTGATTCTCTAAGTTATTCTCTCTGAATGTAATCTTACAGTGCTGTCACTCACGAAGTCAGATCCTCAATCAATCCAAGACCTAGGCACTTTATTTGTGCTCAAATCAAGGACCCTTAAAATATACATAATCATAGGAGATCCTTGGCTAAAAATAAACTGCACTCAAACTAAAAGCAATCAGACTGAACAGACACTGAAACTGAAAAACCTCAGTTCACAGCACTTGTTTCAGCGCTTGTTTCACATTCCTTTAATGGGCTGGACTGATTTTCATATGTGAGAATCCCCTTTCCATTTTTATGTTCCTGACATTCTGTGAATGTATAAAGCCTTATGAGGGCCTACAGATTGCTTAAACATATGAGCAAGACTTACTTAAAAGGAAAAGAATCTAGACTAATCTGTAATTTCTTTTACCTGTTCCGTGTTTTGGGTTATTTGTAGAGTGCTTGGGGCACAAGTGGATATTTTCAGAGTTGGAGAATGGAGTTCCTGTTGAGAGAACAAAAGGGGGTTCAGAAATTTGTTCCTGAACAGTGTCATTGAATGTCTTACATTCTTGAGGTTTTATTTCCTTATTTTTATAATAACCCAATTTGTCAGAAATAAGAACATTATTTAGTGCTTTCTTAAATGATGTCCATCTTTCCTAAAAGCACATTACTGAATTCCTTTGTCAGCTTTGCAAGTAGCTTAATGATAAAATAATTTCTAGAATGCTTTCATTACAATACATTCTTCTTGTACTTTTAGATTGCATTCCTTTTTCTTTTTTGAGAACTCTGCTCATATACACTCCAATGTTATTATATGGCTGCAATTAACAAGATGCAAAATTTAGCAAACAAAAACATTAAATGTAAAAATTCTCAAACCAATACTACAGGGAAGCACCTTTGAAAACTCAGCTAAGACTACTGCCCTTCTGACTCTTAATTGTGTTATCTGCTTCTAGTTTAATTTCAAAGTGTAGGTTCTGATGTTAAAAAAATGATCTATAAATGTGAGAGTATGATTTTTAATAGTGACTAGATAAAATGATCACTCTATTGATTATGTTGGCATTCTTTACATTTTTTCCCAAATCAGCAAAACTGCATAGTTTTATTAGTGTGCAAAGAGTTGATAGCATTACCCAATCTCTTCATACGTTACTATAATTTACAACCAATTGACACAACTCCAGGATATGTTCCCACAATGATAAAAATATTTTTTTATTTAGAGCAAGGACGCTATTAAAAATCAGAATCATGGACTTCCAAAGGAAACACTGACAGACTCATACGAAAGTATAGCTATAATGTAGGTGTAATGTGCTATTCTTAAAACAGGACTATGGGTTTACTCAAACTGCCAAATGTTCTGTGCTGTGGTTTTCTTTTTGGTTCAACTTGTAACATTTTCATCCCCTCTCCCCATTACATCAGCAGCAATACTTCAAGCTTAATGTTTCAAGGCAGCCTTTGAATATGTTCCCAGATTTCCTGCTGGTAGCTCAGGAGAATTGCTCAGACAAGTGCAGAGAATTAAAAATTGCAGATCCAACAGGTACATGTTCTTCAGTTTAGGAAGATGATTATAAATACAACCCACTGCAGGTAGATTTGGCCCACAGATCCAACAGGAGTGGGTTTAGAGAGACAAGAAAAAAAAGGATGCTTTTTAGTTATGCAATAGTACATGAATACATCTTAATATAAAAATTTAAACAGAGAAAGTTAAAGATCTTCCCTTAACTATCCTCCCTCCATCCAGATCCCTTACCCAGCAGTAACCATTATTGTCAATTGTATTTTACATAAAGATATATGTATAAGCAATAATATTTATTGCTTTTATTATTCTGCAATGTAAACCAAACAATATCTTTTATTATAGATATGTCTCAGTTCATTATTTTAAATTAATATATAGTGTTCCATAATATTTGTTTGATAGCTTATCTATTTCTCTACTAGTCAATGTTTAAATTGTTTCCAGGTTTTCACTATGCTGCGATAAGCATCCTTGTGAAACATGAGTATTTCTCTAAGATCCCACAAAGGAGTGGTATTGCCGGGACACAGAGTATGTACATTATTCATTTTAACAGATACTCCCCAATTGATTTCCCAAATGGCTATGCCAATTACACATCCACCAGCAGTGTGTAAAGGTGCCCACATCTAAAGAATGCTTTTCTGCATGTTTTAGCCTTTTTAGGCTGAGGCTAGTAATACTAGAATCATTTTGAGAGGTCACTCTGTGTACACTGCCTGGCACCTGGTAGGTGTTCTATAAATGGTAGTTCTTTCCCTCTCGCTTGAACCAATCCAAATCTGATGACATCAGCAAATTAAACAGAATGAAACTTACCAGTCAAGTGGGCTAGCTTTTAAGATAAAAGAGTGTACTGAGAAGTTTTATAAATTTGCAGATATTAACCCAAGTAGAAATACATACACACATACACACACACGTGCATGCATGCACACACATACACATACACATATATATATATATCATACCCTTAAGACATTTATTTATAGTAGTATAGTCAGGGTTACTTTATTCAGGTGCTAAGATAGTAGATATTTAAAAGGCAAATTAGTGTATTTGCACACAGACTAGTCTAGTCCTAAAATGAATAAATTATTCAATCTTCTTATATTTGGAAGGCTGGTACATTGATTCCATAGATTATAATTTACTTAAGTGTTTTGAGCCTTCATTATTAGAATTATCTAGGAAAATGTGGCTTTTACCATCCAACCTTCATGAAAACCGAGGACAAATGAAATAACTTCAAAAATAAAATATTAAGATGGGAACTTAAAATGAGTCAAAGAGATTAAGACATGTGGACAGGAATAAACTAAAATGGAGTGTCATATGTCGGGGCTTCTAAAATGGAGCTGGGAAGCCATTAAGGAAATGGGGTTTATGCACGTATATCACTTCTCTACTCAGATGAAATGTAACTTTTGAACTGTGCTTCACTGTTGTCATCTTGACCTTCTTTCAAGAAATATGCTTACTCCCATAGATTAGAACTTTTTGCCTTAGAGATGGCCTTAGCAACCAAACACGTATAGCCAAGAAGTAACAGTTGTTGCCAGCACCAGTCACAAATCTTGCAAAACAACCTGTGTAATTTATCTCTCTCTTTTCTTTTTGGTGAGGAAGACTGGTCCTGAGCTAACATCTGTTGCCAATCCTCTTCCTTTTGCATGAGGAAGATTGTCACGGAGCTAATAGCTGTGCCAATCTTCCTCTGTTTGTATGTGGGATGCCACCACGGCATCGCTTGATAAGCAGTGTGTAGGTCCATGCCTGGGATCTGAACCTGTGAACCCTGAGCCACTGAAGCAGAGTGCGTGAACTTAACCACTACGCCATCGGGCTGGCCCCTAATTTATCTCTTTTTACCTTTATAAACCCTTGCCTTCTTTGTCTTCCTTGGAGCACATTTTGGTTTTCTGTCTGAATCTGTGTTTCCCAAATTGCAATTCCGATTGCCCAAATAAATATCTGCTGTTTAAATTGTAGTGATTTTTCTTCAGCCAACAGGCGTATGGTGTTGACCAGCATGAATTTAAATTGTAGCAGTATTAGGCTGATCATAAGGTGGAAAAGACCTATCTGAATATAAGGTTTATTAATTTCAGAAAGACTTGCTAAAGAAAGTCCCTTTTCCCTGGAAGTCTACAGAATTAGGTAAGGTAGTTTGAGTAAACGTCCAAAATGAACATTATCTTGATGATGAAAGGTACGTTCCGTGGCAGCTAGCTCTAGGCAGGATTGCAGCAAGTCATGCCATAAATAGCCATTGCCTATTCCATAAGAAGTGATCAAAAATGTTTGTGAATGAATCAATGAATGAAGATGTCTTGGTTTTAAAGGCATCCTGGGAATAGGAGTCTAAATTTCCCTCTTGATAACTTATATCAGTGTTTATTTTCAGTATCACTCATCTGTATATAGCTTACTTAAATCCTTCATGTTGAAATCACTAAATTTAATCAATAGTTAAATATTCTGAGCTTATGCCCTCTGTGCCACAGCCCCACATTCCTTATAACAAAATAATTAAAGGCTGGGGAAGGGATGGTGATGACTACCATAATATAGTGGAAAGACTTCTGGACTTGAAGTCAGGAGCCCTGGGTTTTACTTCTAGTTGTACTACCAGCCAGCTATGTTGATATTGAACAACTCACGTCATCTCCCTGAGCTCCGATTTCCTTGTGTGATAAACGGGATGTGGGTGTGGGTGAGTGTGGATTAGAGGATCTTTAAGCACCTTTCTATTTCTGACATTCTGTCAATATAAGAGATCATCCCCAACTTATTTTTCCATACAAACAATTTCAAATCCTTTAAACTTGCCAGTCTTGTTTTCCTTTGATGATGATGGCAATTAATACCTATTAAGATCTTTCTATGCCAATATGTTACACAGATTATCTTATTTAACACTCAAAACAACCACACAAATAAGTTACTGTTATACCCCATTTTACATATGAGTAAAGTTAGACAAAGATAGTTCAGAAACTAGCTGAAGATCACACAGCTAATACTAAGGTGTTGGAATGCCAACTCAAGTAGCATGGCTCCAGAACTCATGCTCTTAATCACTATAATTTGCCATATCTATAGTTTGCCTCATTATAGTTTCTGTTTTTCAAGTTGTAGAACATAATTCTACTGTTAGATTGACTAGTGCTTGTAATAGGAGGCTAGATATTTGTCTTTTTTAAATTATTTACTGTGAAAGGCAACTTTTGGGCGCTTGAAACAAGAGGTCCACCCAAAAGTTACTGTGTGAGAGAATCGGCTTGATTAAATAATTTAAACTTCTACAAATTTAATAGGGATGTTTTAGTAGACTGTATGATATATTTACAGAGTGCACTCACAGGCCTCTAACCTTGAAAATCATTGAATTTTTGTTTAATACTCATATCATCTGCACCCTTCAATTTTGCTGGAAGGCCCTACTTTTTCTGACGAAATATTCAGCATAGTATTGGGCCGTTTATTCCTGTGGCTCAAATTTGCTAAATACACAAATATTGCCTTGTTGGCAACTTTCTTTAGGTAGAGTTCTGGTGAAAATAATTTTCTTTATAATTAGATGGGCTCATACTTAGTATAAAATCCAGGCCTATTTTTCTCCCACTGCCTAAAGTAATGATTTCCAGCTTTGGGAAATTTGTAGTAGCCTTCTTCCTCCTTCTCCCCCTCCTCCTCCTTTTGTAAAGTACCTATGGTATTACCAATTTTAAGATCAGAGTAGATTAAAATCAGTCTGCTTTGGGGGATAATTTCACTACATCACTTGAGATAATTGTCCATACCCCTTAGTACGCCTTAAATCAGAACTGGGAAACCCTAGTTGCCCTAGGGAGAATTCAGTTGTCACAAAACTCTATTTTATTTAGAACTCTTTGTTAAAATAGCATCTTTTTCAGAGTTAACAAATCATATGAACTGCAAATGGCCCT